TCTAATGTAGTGTTGAAAGTGAGTTACCTAAAAGTATTTTTCACTTTTTTCACTATTTTTCACTTTTCACCCCATCCGACCTCTGTCAAAAATTAAAATTGTTTGAGAAAATAGTAATTAAGGCGTGAATATCACTGTAACACTACCTTTGTTAAACGCACAATTACAGGCCAGTCATTATCGGTGGGGGTGAGGGGGGGGTATACGCTAAATCTATTGTATTACAATATATAGAGCCTGTGTCTGCTTTGACAAGAGTCAGTATGGTGTACAATACTAGATAGTAAAGAGGTGCTAATAGTAATCCGTAATTATGCCGTTTCTGTAGCACATCCCACTCCCTTGATTTTAGTTTGCTTACTAGTCGATACCCTATTTAGCGCAGTCTAATTTTAAGAGTGTTGTTTTTTTTTTTTTTACCCGTTTAAGCAACGTCCAATCCTATGTCATGAACATCAAACTTACAGATCACATCAACAACATAACAGTATAAATCTTAACGGAACCTTCTTTCTGTAATGTTTGAGTTAATTGGTGGTGGGCAGAGTCTTATTATTCAATGATGATAATAATAATTGTAGAAGTAGGGCTACATGTAGTCGCACAAAAGCACATTCCTTAATTCTGTGATCTATTCTAGGGTGTAGGTTTTCGTATATTTTTAACTGTACCATCAACTTACCAGCTTTGGACAACTGGCGAGCAGACAACTCCGTGCTTTTGATTTCCTCTAGGGATGATAATTTCACTGTTGTCAGGTGCTGGTCTCGTATCGGCAGTTGCCGCAGGGAGCGTGATTGAAATCAAAACTTGGCACATTTTGAAAGTTTAAGTCGGACAAAAGAATTTCAGGTGACCCTTTTAATCAGAGCTGCCAGGTAAGCTAACAGTTTAATTACTGCAACGTACAGGTAAATTGAGAGTTGCGATAAGTTCACCTTCTTCCTATCTCTCCATCAACATATTTCTTGAGACTGCCTTTATTTTCGTTCACTGTTCCACAAGGATAATTATCAAACGAAGAACATTGTATGGAGAAGGGGTTTTTATTCATTATTTTATTCATGAAACAATAAGCAAACTNTCTTAACGGAACCTTCTTTCTGTAATGTTTGAGTTAATTGGTGGTGGGCAGAGTCTTATTATTCAATGATGATAATAATAATTGTAGAAGTAGGGCTACATGTAGTCGCACAAAAGCACATTCCTTAATTCTGTGATCTATTCTAGGGTGTAGGTTTTCGTATATTTTTAACTGTACCATCAACTTACCAGCTTTGGACAACTGGCGAGCAGACAACTCCGTGCTTTTGATTTCCTCTAGGGATGATAATTTCACTGTTGTCAGGTGCTGGTCTCGTATCGGCAGTTGCCGCAGGGAGCGTGATTGAAATCAAAACTTGGCACATTTTGAAAGTTTAAGTCGGACAAAAGAATTTCAGGTGACCCTTTTAATCAGAGCTGCCAGGTAAGCTAACAGTTTAATTACTGCAACGTACAGGTAAATTGAGAGTTGCGATAAGTTCACCTTCTTCCTATCTCTCCATCAACATATTTCTTGAGACTGCCTTTATTTTCGTTCACTGTTCCACAAGGATAATTATCAAACGAAGAACATTGTATGGAGAAGGGGTTTTTATTCATTATTTTATTCATGAAACAATAAGCAAACTGCTTGTTTCAGCAGAAGGATGGGAATATAAAACCATTTATTTAAAATAAAGTTCTTAAAAAACTGTTTGCTTAAAGCAGTCCATCAAGATACACGTGAACTAAATCTGGATTGAATAAGTTGTATGAATAATGTCATAAAAGAATATTTGCTATATGAATATATGCCAGACATTTCACTCACTGCAATAGATAGAATATTCTGCTATAAAATCGAAAAAAAAAAACAGAAGGTAATGGTGACAGCCCGTATCGGTAATGTATAATTTGGCAGAGCAAGNTCCTGTACCAGCAGTTGTTGGGCCTGTGACTTGTGTATATATGCTAACACCTGTATGTATGTATTATTACTGTAGGTGTGTGTCCTGTACCAGCAGTAGTTGGGCCTGTGACTGGTGTATATATGCTAACAGATGCACCCACGCCAGTAGTACTTGTAATCCTAGTGGAGGGGTATTAGCAGGACAGAATGTACGTTCAATTCTTTTTTTTATTAGTCCGTGTACACCCTTTTTCTTCCAAACCTAGATAAAGCCAGATAATCCTGGCCACTGCATGGTGCAATTTTTCATGCTTGTGACATGTAAAACACTGCTACTGAAACTAGAAATGAATATCATTTTACGCACAATTTTTAATGTCGGTTTTCAAGAGCAGAAACATGTTTACGAACAAGAAACAGTGCTGAATTCTTTCCTTCATTTCAGAGTCATGTCAATGTAGGTATTAAAGGACCCACCCTGTGTCCCCAGCTCCGGCCACGTGTACAAGAAGTCCTGTTACCTGCTGGGGTACCTAAAGTGATCTCACTGATTGGAAAGAACCTACCTGTACCACAAGTAAAGATTCTCTAAAATGTGGTTCTTTTAAATCACGTTATCGTTACTTATATGTACACATAGGAATACATTCTTCTTACACATGTTTTTTTCTATTTGTGTTAGAGAACCTTAGAATTATGGGACGATAGATTTTGGTTTTTCATTATAACAATAAAGCAAGAATTCATTTCTAAATCAGTTCCAATAAAAAGACTGACATAAACCAGATATTCGCACTCCAAATAGATTTTTAGGAAGTTAAACATTTTGTTGTGCTCTGCAATTATTTTGCTTGTTCCTGACCTTGCCCCAACGTCATTCCAGGCTGGCCAAGGTGGTTATCTATGTAAGATAGCCACTAACACAGTCCCAGCTATCAGACAGAATGATAGTGCCATAGACTGCCAGAACCACGCTGCGAGTAGATATCACACACAAACATATTACGATATAGTGAACATTCAGTTTGTTCCTTAAAGGCCAACTTATATCAGATTCCGCTTTACCGTATCATAAGCCCATCAGATCTAAGAGAAGACCAAGTTATTACTGTGTAAACTAGTCATATATTGAAACATGTTGGTCTAAATTTTTGCCTGTTGCTGTTCTTTTCTAAACAGGCAGATTGTGATAAAGTAGGAAGTATCCTGATACTTACTCCAAGTATATTATTATTAATTAAGAAGTAATATTTATAGTAAGAAGATAATTTAGAATAGGATGATATATTTTTCCAAGATAAAGACAGTTGGTCTGAAATTTGATCTCCGTTGATTTTTTTTGTTGTTCATGATAGTCGTTATTATTAAATCAGACGTTTGGTTGTATTTAACGGGTTTTACGTTCATTATTCCAGTATATATACACAGCCAATACAGGGAAGGAGAAACACCAAATCCAAGTGATCTGGAACAATAACCATGTGATTGATCAACTAAAAGGTTCTGAAGTCAGTGGTATGTATTGTACACCAAATCAGTTTTACTTCCTTTTTTATCTTAAACTAAATGTGTTTAATAGATGTAAAGATTTGGAATGTGTAAACGCTTTAATATGTTATTCTGCCTTCTCAGAAAGAATCATACCACCTGTCGCTCAGAAGCCGAAGTATGTGATTTCACATGCGAAGATATTTTGAAAGTCTCTTATTTTGTTGTCAGTTTACTTGTATTACTGTCAATTCTTTTCATGGTTACAGCTATGTACAACACAATTGTAACATTGTTTGGCAGTATTTATGATATATTTTTGGTATACCATTACTTCACGATAATGTCACTGTTATTTTAGCAATCATGTACTGTACAAAATGTTTTGCAAGTCAAGTGTCTTGTTGGTAGTTTACTGGTATTACTGTTAATTATTTAAATTGTTACAACTAAAGCGTATGTACAACACAAATGTAACATTGTTGGGCAGTACATGTTTAGTAATTATGGTACACCATTACAGAATGATGTTACTGTTATTTCAGCCACCCTGTACAAGTGTGACATCCTGGGGACCACATGTGGCACATGTATTGGTGCCGTGGATACAAAATTTAGATGTGCTTTCTGTGGAGGGACGTGCAAGTATCGCCCAACATGCAGTGTGCCAACTGACAGCACTTGCCCTAATGTTATCATTAACTGGGTTAGTGCGGTTATATATTGTAAATTTCATGTACTTGCCACCAGTCAGTCTGATACTTTATGTCAACATTTAGAAGTTTTTGTATAGTAATTATCTTAGATTTCAAGTGCCACATGGATATGCTTTTCAATATGGTAACCCACAGCATACATTTTTTTCTTGAGACGTTTTATTTTTTGTATTTAACAAACAATTATAATATATAACAGAAATTGGAACACAGTAGAAGAGTTAATCAGTATATTTATCTATGAGTATGACAACCTTAAAAAGTATAAACAATGTCTTCCAGGTTTTTCCACTGAGTGCCCCAGTTGAAGGTCACACCAAGGTCACCATCAATGGCACCAATTTAGGCACCTCTGATGCCAGTATACCCACTGTTAGACTGGCTGGGGTGATCTGTAGACCTGTTGTAGAAGACTATGTGGTCTCAAAGAGGTAAGGAACAGTGTCTGAACCTGTTCAATTCCCACGATAGTGGGTATTGGCGTCCAATAATTCACTTCAGTTAAATGAAATTAGACATATATAACAACAGTATGTCAATGCATTCTTGGATAGCGTTGTGGTATAGAGATTTAATTACAATTGCAACATATAGAATTGTAACATTTTACTTAAAGGAGTACATTTTTTAATCAATTGCAAATCCAATTTTTTTCTTGGTATTTTTCTGCCTTATGTGTCCACTAGACCCCGTAAGCTGCTTTGTCTGCAAAACCATTTCTTCTACTGCTTTATTTCCTAAAATCATTTTTGCATGGTTTTAGAATTGTGTGTACGGCAGCGGAAGCTCCAAGCAGGGTGGCCAGGAATGGTTCCATAGAAGTCCAGGTCCAGGGTTTGGGCAAAGTATTCCGCTACTCCCAGATGTTCAGATATGTGGTGAGTACTTTTTTAAAGACAACTTATACCGCATCACTGATGTTAATTGAATTATGGAATTACAGTCAGGGTATACAGGTACTCCAAACAGTTCAGATATATGGTGTATAGGTGTTTTGATGAACAACTATATCCACATCACTGGTCTTGATGGGGATGTGTAATGACAAATTCTGGGGGCAGAATATTAGAATTTAGGTCATTACACTAAATAAGTGCATTCTAATGATATTTGCCAATTAATACTTGATTATGGCGTGATAATAATGTATGTAATATAGATTCAAACGTGTATTTACAGGGATAAAGACTGCTAATTGAGTTATAAAATTCCACAATAAATTAACTCAATATAACCAATAATAAATAAAATAAATAATAAAGTCCCCATAGTCGTTTACCAAAGGGAAATCCTTTTTCTGTCCCGCCATAAAAAAAGTTATCCCATTAATCGTCCCTTTCAGGACCCCAAGCTGGAGGCAGTATTTCCAGTGAAGGGCCCCATGTCTGGTGGCACCAGGCTGACTATGAGAGGGAAAGATCTTAATGCTGGCAACCTGGACAATATCAGCCTAACCATGGGAGAGGAAATGTTGCCTTGTATTGTTGATAGGTAAGGATACTTCATAGGCTATATGCGTCGATCTTTTTTTTTCTGTGCTAAATGTGTTTTACAATTTGTTGGGCTAAATAAAATATACAAAAAATCGTGACTTAGATAGAGGATGCTTGGCATGGTTTCCCTAATAAATAGTCGCTGTTTTCTTTTGAAAATTAAATACTGCTTTTGGTTAGACAGGGTAACATGTTTTTTCAACAGTTACTGTAAAGAAACATTTGATTATAGTGAACTTAAATAGCGTGATAGTGGCCCAACTGCTCAAAACAAACATTCCACAGCCAATATAAATTGTAAATATTACACAAAATGGAAAAAAATGCAAGACATTAAACCATGGCAATTCAGTCTATTTTGATCGATATAAATTTTACGTAATTTCCAGAAGTACAATTGGCAGCCATTCCACCATTTGTACCACTCCAGGGGTCAGTAGGCCAAATGTCGTGACCTCTGTCAGGATATTTTTTGACGGCAGTGTGAGAATGCTGGATCAGGGCCCCTTCACATACACTGAGGACCCTGTGGTGGACAAGATAGTGCCACTAACCAGCTTTGTCAGGTAACTTACACATTGCCCGGATGTGATAAGAATAGCAGCTGAGAGCACGTCTGAAATGGTTATTTAAGAAAATATAATGAGTGCCTTTCGAGTGAAAATATCAATTTCAAATATGGAATATTTAGATATTACTACGTTGATGTTTTAGTCACAGTCTTTTTTAAATTTAATTTAGCGGAGGTCGGATGTTGACAGTCACTGGGAGGTATTTTGACTCAATTCAACAGCCAAAGATGTTTGTGTGGAACGGGAAGGAAAAGTCCCAAACAACGGTGAGGGGAAGGCAGTACTCACATACTTTAGGGATTTTTTCCCTTTTTAGCTCATTCTGTTGCTCTCTATAGGGGTTCTTGGGCACTGGTAAGTGGTGGTAAGTGTGTGTATATGTGCTTAAGGTAATGTGCTGGTCCTTTATTTATCAGAGAGTGTATTGTGACAACCTGTACATGCCAAGCTGTTTCCCTACTGTATACCGACATGATGTAAATTATTCCACTCTGGTTTTTTCTTGGTTGAATTGCATATAATGTACCTTTTCCAATTTCTCATCATGGCATCTAATTATTGATTTTCTTATTCTGTCAGGATTGTCTCCATATACCAGAAATGTCCAGTACTACATTAACATGTCCATCGCCAAGAGCGCCTAACGGGATTCATCCAACGCCTCCAGACACTTCAGGTTCCTTGCGCCTGAAGAGACAGTCTGATATCAATACTATCGCGAAGATTGGCTTTATAATGGACGGAGTGTTGGGAGTGCAGAATTTAACCAACATCACTTCTTCTATTCAATATGTTGTGGATCCGTTGTTCCAGAATTTGACCAGCGACGGTTCTAGTGTGAAATATCAAAGTAACACGAGCTTCGTAATACGTGTGAGTCAATCTCTGTTCAAGAAAAAACAACAAAAATAGAATAAAATAGAATAAAATAAAATACATATATTAATGTAAACATAAATTAATGGAACATGATAAACATTAATACAGGTATTTCAAAACATACAAGAGTTTCTAACAATCAGTGCCCAATTCCTAGACCTATTTAACCATAATTAATTAAGGCCAAGCTATGACCAACCCAAAGAGCACTACCCGGTTAAATCTGCAAATTGTGCAATGCAGCAGTCTTACAGTCTTGAAAGTCAGTTTAGTGGTAGCCACACGCCTGACTTCAAACTTCTCTATTCACTTATCTGACGTAAGATATGTGTTAAAAAGAATACACATTATGTAGGTATACCTTTGACATTGAAATATTCCATATTCATATATGTCGAGTCTGTACAATCAATGCATAATTCCTGAACCCATTTAATCACAGTTGAAACTCCATTTATGATGTAATTATAACATTCCTACATAAAACTCACTTTCGTTCAACAGGGACATTATCTCAACCTTGCCGCAAGCGAAGCAGATGTGACTGTTCTGATTGGTGGGTATAACTGTGACGTCACGGGTTTGGCCCCCAGTGTTCTCGTCTGCTCACCGCCACATTTTGACTACGGAGATAAACTGGTAACTGTAAGTATTCCATTCCATTTTAAATCTTGATTTGTTTGCTTGTTTGGAATGTTTTTTTTAATAAAGGGTCTGTCGCCTAACCACCAAGGATAACAATAGTACTCTATCAAAATTGCTTTTGTTAATTGAACGAACACTTAAAGAGCACAACTCTCTAAGTAAAATGTATTTTAAGTTGTACTGCTAGGTGACTCATTGGTTATTTACTTTTACATAAGTCATTGCAGTTAAGTCTTGCAAATACATTGCTTGAAGTCACTGTCAACTTATTCCACATAATACAGTAGTGTATGTAATTGGAATGCATTATTCTCTTCAGATACGTATGGGTAATTTAGAGTACCAAGTGGGATATCTAAACTACGGGGATCCTCCTGTAGATCATCCTACAGTCAACTATGGCTGGGTAGCCGGGTTAATTGTCCCTATTGTTGCTCTATGTATAATTGGAATCGTAACCGGAGTCATACTCTATAAAAGACGTGCAAAAGGCGCTACCACCAATCACAAAGGCACCAATGACACGGAGTACCTCGGTTTAAGCAGTCAGTTTACACCACCGCGTGTTATCAACACTATAGAGGACGCCTTGATGCTGGTAAAAGATGATGACTTAAAGGTTGCTCTAAAGCCTGTACTAATGAGCAGAGACCGGATTAAAATTGGGAAGTTAATAGGCACAGGTGCGTAAATGACCATCCAGTTACAAAAAATGTTATTGTGTATTGAAAACTCACTCTGGTATCTTAACTTATTTCCCCATTAATGCGACATGACTTGTGCTTCAGCATATGCCCGCGATCAAAGCTATAGTCACGTACACAGTGCTTTTTATGGCGGTCTGGTTAGTATATTTTATAAAACAATAATAGAATAAACATATACTGGAGAGGGAGTAACAAATGTTTACATACTAATAACGTTTATTTGTTTGTTTCAGGGCACTTCGGTTGTGTATTTGAAGCAGTTTACGAAGACAGCGAACATTACAACCCTTCAAAAGTAGCCGTGAAAACGTTTCAAGGTACATGCTAAAAAGTGCTCGATCATTATCTTACACTTAATACTTGAAAATGATTAATGGATATATATCTGTTAATAATGCTTGTTCAATTATAAGTTGTCTATTTTTATAAGAAAACATGTCTATGCCAAAACTTATATTCACAATGTTATTGATAATTGTCCTTAAATCAATACACTATACTGAAAGAACTATTGACACTACCCACCGCCATACGCAACTTTCGCAAACAATCTATCTCTACACAAGCGCATTTAATTCATGAACGAATCATTTCCTGCAGGAAAGGGTGCAGACATTCAGCATCTAGATGAATTCCTCAGAGAAGGAGCTCTGATGACGTCATTCCGCCATGATCACGTGTTGACAATACTCGGGATATGCTTCGAAGTTGACGGCAACCCCATGATTATATTACCGTACATGTCCAATGGAGATCTCAAAACCTACATCGAGAATCCTAAGAATGTGCGTAAGAAATGTTGTGAGTTTGGGAAAAGTCGTAATTTTTCAAGATCAGAAGATAAAGTGAAATGTTTGTAATATCATTGTTTAGAAATAAATTCAGACATACTGGAATCGCTGGTACGATCCTGAGTTTATTGCAATTTAAAGCATATTATAACGTATTGTTTATTCACACTATTGACAGCATGTATGTTATGTTATATTAGGCACCTACTGGACTACAGCTGCTGCAGTTTGGTTTGGACGTAGCCCGGGGCATGGAATACCTTGCTGAGAACAAATTTGTCCATCGAGATTTGGCTGCTAGAAACTGCATGTGGGTAATATACTCTGCTCCAACAGAACAGATAACCTTAGTAAAGGGCAGATTACACAATACCTTTTTTTCTTTTGCTTTGAGGGGGGATTCTAGAGGAAAAGGCGTTCCTCTTGAGGTACAGGTGTTTCCATAGGCGAAACAGGAGAAAATCGCCTTTCCGTTGAGATGTTTAAACTTTGTGTTATAATGTACTAATACACTAGTCTGTGACACACTTTGGATATATTAAATATTATTTGTGATTATATTATGCGAGTGGAGCCAAGCAAATGATCAACCAAATCTAGAAGAGTATGGACATTGTCAGTTGACTAAAGAAAGTTGTCATTTGTATAGTAATCATTGGTACTAAAAAACTCACCCAGCTCTGCTATGTTTTCAGGCTAGATAACCAGCTGCGAGCCAAAGTGGCCGATTTTGGACTGACTCGTGACGTGTATACCAAGGAATATTACAGCTCCAGAGACAAGCAGGCCAAGTTGCCGGTGAAATGGATGGCGCCAGAGTCCATGGAGAGGAACGTTTACACTTTTAGATCCGATGTGGTATGGCCATGCGGTTACATTAAGTTTTAGTTCGGAATTTACTGCTTTTCCCTTCATAATACGGTAGTGCATATTGAATTTTAAAATCAATAAGCTCCATGAACGAAAAAATCAAATTTCTTCAAATTTTAAATGATTGACTGGTATATGGATTAGAAAATAAAACAAATTAAAATAAAACAAGTATTTTGGGATGTCAAATAATTATCAAGGAATGTGTCCTCTAGCTTTCTCGTGTTTTAGATGTATAATGTTTTATGTTATTTCTTCTTATTTATTTCTCTGCCTCTCGCCCTGCAAAAGCCGTTCCGACTTTTGGAATTATTTTAAATTTCCGATTGTCCATATAAATTATAATAATATTTGATTTGTTTGCTATTTTAGGAGAGATAAACTATAAATGTCAAACCATCCTTGTTTTCATTTTTTTTGTTTCCATTATATACATATTTCTGTTGTCTACAGTGGTCCTATGGCGTACTACTTTGGAAACTGTTCACTCTCTGTTAGGTTTTTATTATCATTATTTACGTATTCTATTGTCTACAGTGGTCCTATGGCGTACTACTTTGGAAACTGTTCACTCTCTGTTAGGTTTTTATTATCATTATTTACGTATTCTATTGTCTACAGTGGTCCTATGGCGTACTACTTTGGGAACTGTTCACCCGCGGTAAGGTGCCATACCCTGGTGTGGATGGATGGGATGTTCTACAGTTCCTTAAACTTGGGAGAAGATTGGACCAACCCGACTACTGTCCTCAGCAAGTGTAAGTCATGACTAACAGCACGCCTTCGGGTATATACATCTACAATTAGTATGTACATATATGTGGTCTGACATAAGTCTTATATATTGGTAAGGCCGTTATTTCTAATACGGTGTTAGTACATGTATATTTGATGTTATCATAAGAGGGTCTGAATTTCTCAATTCTCTTCTTTGATGCAAATTTTGCCTGCTTCTCCCTGTTGAATGTGCTTGTATCGGTGCTTAACAGTGCTAGTTGCACATGAACCTGACTGTGCCTTCAGTTACGCACAGTATACATACTACAGGTAGTACACTGCTCAGGCAGATCTCGGAAAAGGGGGTCACCCGGCCATAAGCCAAAACTACATATATACGCCCTGTCGAAGAGGGAGTAAAAGAAGCACCACAATTTACAGAAGCAATTTGGTTTAATTTAGTGGGATTAGGGGTTGGGTAGCAATTTCTAATGGCAGTCTAAATTATTTGGATCCTGTTCTTGTTGTCTTGATAGTATCCATTTTGAGCATGTCCTGTCGTCTCTACTATTCCAGGTACCAGCTCATGCTGAAGTGCTGGTCATGGGAGCCAGAGGAGCGACCAGACTTCACCTCTATCGTAACACAAATAGAGGAGACAGTGAGAGTCAACACGGAAGTTGGTGGAGAACCTGATCACAGTGAACATGGAGAAGGGGATGGTGTTTATCATACGTACACTGAAGTGTTCTAGGCACAATGTAACATCTGTAAATAATTTAGCCCAGTCGGTTTTTGGACAGTGCTTTTTATTTGATCTTTGCTATGAGGATGGCGGCATATGGATTTGGTACATTTTATACCTGTATATTCTCAGCTGTATGTTTATTCATAATCTTAAGAAATCACATGGACATATTATATAGTGTTGGCCAATTAAGAAACAAAATGAGACTGCTTTCACTATTGTTGAATCTAGGTGTTTTTAGACTATGGAGTATCACATGATGCACATGGCATGTAAGAGTGCATTCAGAACGGATGACCATCAGGGAATTAGTGGCATTGCTTTTTCAGTAGGGTTTAGTCGTCGTCTCATTTAGTCCGCTGATCATCATCATCATCATCATCATCCACTTCCAGTCCATTCACGTCTTTCCACTCATTGCTGGTTTTTAATTGCGTTTTCTTGTGTCTCCACTGTTTCCACTCTTTCTTCTCTATATATTTTTATATTTCCGTATGTAATATCTTTCTTTTGTTTACTATTTCTTATATCATTTGCATTTTTTGTCTTTCTTTCCCCCAATCTCCCTCCGACATAAGACTTGCACATTTTTTAAATCAACAGATTAGTACACAGTACTCTTGTTCATAACAGTATGCGTTATTACTGAATAATCGTATTAATACAAAAGTAACGAATTTCAAAAATAGAAAGACAGCTGAAAAAAGGAACAGCCTTAACTCCTAAGATCAAGCCGTAATTTGGGACAGGGGCATTTTTAAAGTTAAACTCACTTCATTTTCAATGTATTGTTAGTGTACCTTGTAACATACACGTGCTAACTCTGTAAGCCGCCATGCTGGAACACACGTGTATTATTCAAGTCGCTTACAACATTGTAAAATAAGAGGTGGTCGCTTAAGACAAATGGAATGTTACATCTCCCTCTTTATAATCAACTAAGATTAATAAAGTAAATAAAAGCATGTAAATTAAAATGAATTCAGTTTTTGGTGTTCACAGTTCTTTGTGAGTGTTCACTTTAATTTATAGTCTTTCAGTGTTCAATGTGAGAGGAGCATTCAGAGTCTCTGATCTTCTAGTCCTTTTTGTAAATATTTTTTTTTACTTTAACTTAAAATCATTTCATGCTCCACAGAGAATGTCTTTAACAGTCCATTTAAATGAAAGAAAAAAAAATTAAAGAAAAGTCTTTGGCTGAGTCTTTGTATTATAACTTAAAACTGCTTTAAAGCAAGTCCACATGAAAATCCACATGTAGTATTAAATTAATACTGAATCGTTCATAAAACACAAGTTATACATTTAATCTGTCTGGCGGTTTCACCACACGACCAGATCTTGTTACAATCCTTGGGGTATTAATTGCTGGTGTCACTGTTTTTGTTGGTGTTTTACACTGATCTCGGGTTGGTGTTACTGTCTCCTCAGGTACTATATGTTGATCCTTGATAGGTGAATGTAATGGCTCATTACATGGCTCCAAGTCAACAAAATTAGGGTTATAGTGATGTGCTTTTTCTGTTGATGATCTTAAGTGCTGACGATTACGTCTGTATACACGGTCATTTCCTTCCACTATGTATGATCTTGGATGTGTATGACGTTTAACAACAATGGCTGGTACCCATGTTTTTGAACCTGGATGAGGCTGCATTCTCACATGTTCTCCAGGATTGAAAGCTTTTAGTTCTTTAGCACCTTTCCTTTGATCATGATAATATTTCTGTTTTAGTTTCTCCTGGCTAAAATGACGTTTCACCTCTCGTTGGTTATATGCCTGTGGTTTTAACAGATTTCGAGCTGCAGGCAGTGTGTTTCTAGGTCTGCGTCCCATTAACAACTGCGAAGGGGACAAGTTTATGCCTTCCAAAGGTGTAGTTCTGTAGTTGAGTAGAGCAAGATACTTGTCATCACATTTTTTCCACATTTTCTTCACAATTTGAATAGCTCTCTCAGCTTCCCCATTTAAACCTGGGTACTGAGGACTGGAGGTCATATGTTCAATATCATACACTTTGCAAAATTGTTTGAATTCACATGAACTAAACTGTGGTCCATTGTCTGATCTGATTTTAAGAGGTATGCCATGACAACTAAACACATATTTTATAGCATTGATTGTAGCAGTTGTAGTTGCGGCATTCAGTTCTACAACATCAATGTACTTTGAATAGTAATCAATGAGAAGTAGGTACTTCTTTGCTCCAAAGTAAAATATGTCACAACCAACTTCAGTATAGGGTAGATCTGGAGGGACGGTCGGTTTCAACGGTTCTGCGGGTAACCTGTTTTGATACTCAGAACAATTTATGCAGTCTCTCACCATGTTTTCAATTTCCATATTCATTCCAGGCCAAAACATGACTTCCCTTGCACGCTGTTTGCATTTCACAACTCCAAGATGTGACTCGTGTATCAAGCTAAGCATGTACTTTTGTAATGACGGTGGAATAACTATTCTGAGGCCTTTGTAGATTACACCATCAAACACAGACAATTGGTCTCTGGAGTCCCAGAAATTTCTAATTTCATAAGGTGTCTCTCTACGTGTATCTGGCCATCCTTGAACAATTGTGTTGTATAGAGGCTGTAGCTCTCTTTGCGTTCTTGTTCTAATATCAGAGTATCTCTCGCTGCTCACAGAGATCATATCAACTAAACATAAATCATCTAGTCCTGTCACGTCAGAACTGGTGTCTGGTAAGTATGCTCTCGACAATGTATCTGCTACCACCATATCTTTGCCTTTCCTGTATACAACATTGAGATTGTACCACTGTAGACGTAGCAACATCTTCTGCAATCTCATTGGAGCTGACAGTAATGGCTTCTTAAGAATGCTCTCTAATGGCTTGTGGTCTGTGTACATTGTTGTTTCCTTACCGAAGATGTAGCAGTGGAATTTTATAGCTCCATGGACAATGGCGAGCATTTCCTTCTCTATTTGAGCATAACGCATTTCAACATCAGTAAGAGAACGTGACGTGTATGCTATAGGTCGGCCATCTTGTATTAGCACTGCCCCTAGTCCACTTCTTGATGCATCACACTGAATCTCTACGGGCTTGTTCACATCATAATAAGCTAATACAGGCGGTGTGCTGCACAAGTGTTTGAGTTCCTCAAAACTTGCTTGTTGCTCATGTTCCCACTTGAATGACACATCATTCTTCAATAATGCTCTCAGTGGGGCATCCACCTGACTCAGGTTTGGTATGAACTTGGCTAGATACTGTATAAGACCAAGTATTCTTCGTACTCCATCCTTATCTGTGGGTGGTGTCATATCAGTTATTGTGCGCACTTTTTCTGGATCTGGGCTCAGGCCCTCTGCTGTGAGGATATGTCCCACATACTGAACTCTGGGCTGACGCACCTGACACTTATCAAAATTGAGCTTTAGGTTGTATTCAGTAGCTCTCTGAATAACCTTCTTGAAAATCGAATCATGATGCTCACGATCTGTGCCTGCTATCAATATGTCATCCATTATAGCTGTGGCACCTTCTATGCCTTCAAGCATTTCATCCATGATTCTCTGAAAGATTTCTGGCGCTGATTTAATGCCGAAGGGTAGGCGAAGCCATCTGTACCTGCCAATTGGAGTGTTGAAAGTAGTCAAAAAGGATGACTGCTCATCAAGCTGTATCTGCAAAAATCCCTGTGTGGCGTCTAACACAGAAAACACTGTGGCTTTTGGAATACTAGCTACAACTTCTTCAATAGTTGTCAGTGGATGATGCTCTCCTTTGATTGCATTGTTCAAATCACATGGGTCTATACAGATTCTCACTTTATCATTTCTTAATGAAACAACCATTGAACTGACCCATTCATTTGGCTCATGGACTCGGGTAATGAAGCCATCTGATTCCATTTCCTGTAATTTCTCTACGATGCGTGGCTTCAGTGATGCTGGCTGTCGTCTGGCTGGATGTATAACTCCCTTTGCTGTTGGGTCTATCTTTATGGTATGCTTACCTGGTAGCGTACCTGTGTTCCTGGCAAGTTCAGTGAAATCATCTACACTGTTTACCTTGTTTACTCTGACTCTATGGAGGAGCCCAACTTTCTCTGAAACTTCACCGTTAATGACATTTTCCTGGTCTATGTCCACTACTTCAAAGTCAACTGGCAACTGAGTAGTATTGTATGCCACTGAAAGCTGTGCTTTTCTGATTGGGCGGATCTTGTGATTAGAGTAGAAGCGAAGAACTTTAGTTGTTTGGTTCAAGTTCTTGTGAAGACTAAGTTTTTCATAATCAGCTTTCACTAGAATGTTACATTTTGCTCAGTATCTATACGAAATTTAAGTGGCTTGTCTTGGACATCTAGTGTCACTATCCATTTATCTTCAGCTGCACTGACAGAGTCAACATTTTCATCATCAACTTCAGTTGTATGAATGTACAATGGGTCATTGTTGCTATCTTCACTCACTGAATCATCATAATCATTATCACTTTCCTGTAAAGTGTGTACTGCCTTGGCTTTTCGTTTTCTGCATACTGAATACCAATGGTTTGGTTTCTTACAATATCTGCATTTGGTTCCTTTTGCCGGGCAAGTATTGTTTCTATGGGCTGTTGCAATATCTAAACTTCACTGACCACATTTCTTGTTATTTTGCTTCCAAGGTACGTGTTCCTGTCTCTTAGAGGCTTGTGAGGGATTTCTACTAGCATGGCTTTCCTTACTCTTATGTGACTTGTGATTAATGGCGGAAACTTCAACTTCTGGTCTTAGAATCTTCATTTGTTGCTGGGATGACTCATACTGTCTACCTATTTCTAATGCTTGAGCTAGAGTAAGTCTTTCCCCTTTTTCTAACAGTTTCTCTTGAACTCGAGGATAGTACACCCCACGTATTATACAGTCAATTAAAATGTCTTCAGCGTCTTGGTACTGACAATCCATAAGAATCAATCTGATGTCTTTTACAAAATTGTCAAATGTCCCACCTCCTCCTGCTTCCTTTTCTGGAGATTAAATCTTTGTGCACGTTTGTTTTTTCTGGGTCTTACATAATTTTCAAGCTTGCCGAATATTGCTTCTGGTTTATCTTCTTCATCTTCTTCCCAAGTGAATGTTTTGTAAATTTCTCTCCCTTGTTTTCCAATCCACATGCCTAACCATCCTGCCCTTATCTTATCATCTGTTTGTGATAGTGGACCCTTGAAAACGAGCTCAGCATGCTGTCGGAATCGAGTAAATTCCAAGTACAAATATTTAGACTCCCAATCGAAACTGGGTTGCTCGAATGCATACGCCATTTTAATTAGTGTCTCGCACAATTAAAAATTATGTGGCATGTGTAAGGCTTCACTAATAGCTTGAAAAGTTCAACTTCTGACACCATGTAACATAAACGTGCTAAATCTGTAAGCCGCCATGCTGGAACACACGTGTATTATTCAAGTCGCTTACAACATTGTAAAATAAGAGGTGGTCGCTTAAGACAAATAAAATGTTACATACCTAAGATTGGGTGACGAATAAATAGCTTTGTTTGAGCTTCCATCTTCTTTGCTTGCTTATCTGTTAAATAAATGGGGTGGATGAAAGATAATGGCATGAATCATTAGCTAATATGAGTTCTTTTCTGTATACATGCTCTTCCATGCAAAAACAGTCACTCATTTTCCATTCAAATGCGAAGTAAGAATTCTAAGGTCCTTCAAATTTCATAGAAAAGAACTGGAAATAACCGCAATCATTCTTGTCGCTTAGAATCAACGAAAAGTTCACAGTATTGACTATCACGTATTCAAAATACCCAAAGCCAAAACTTATGTCATCTTACATGAAATCTAAATTATTTGCAGCCTATAGATTTATTCGTCACTTGAAGTGACTTTTCTGAATCTCTTATTGTTTTATATTGGCATATCTACTCAGGGCTCTTTTAATATACGTTATGTTTTCTATATCATTTGCTTGTCGTTTTTATTAATATTTGTAAAATATTCGAATGTGATTGAACAAATTTAAGCGCAGCAAAAAAAAAAAAAAAAAAAAAAAAAATGTTTTCCCGAACAGATGGCAGTAAGGCGCGTGGTTTAAAATTGGATTTGAATCTCTCCACGGGGAGGGGGTTAATCTGGTTCACGTGTATCTCGATTGTGGCACGCATATCAACACATATGTGCACACTGAGAGAGAAAGAGAGTCGTAATCACCGCTACCTTTATAGTTCTTTTTCTTCCTGTATTTGTTGTAATAAGTTTAAGAAGCTTTCTAATATCCAGCATGACTCGTCATCTATCTGGTTACAACACACAGCGCAACTAACACAATCAAGCGCGAAACAAACGGCACCGCATTCTTACGTGTCACTTGGCCTTGTTTTATTTGGGTGTACCTGGAATTGGCAGAAAAAATTAACATCTGTGATGATAAATAAAAGGAAATGCGTAGAGATAGTTTGGGGTGAAGGACAAAAAAGAGTTTCTGTGACGTTAAAAGGTGGGGGGGGGGGTCCTGTGTCCTATCTATGAGGAGGTGGAGGGGGTTTCGAGGGGGGGGGGTAAAAATCTGATTATCTTAATGTCCACTGTTGTATGCATTTACTGGTTTACGTGAAGAAGACGTTGTTGTTCATAAATGTTTTACAATCATTTATTCATCAACACCAAAAAGAATGGATAAATAAAACTTCATAAACGATAAAAAAAGATAAAACATGACTGAGTCCATGACTAGTCTTTCTGATCTTTACCCCGCTGCTATGGTTATTTGACTGGCTTTTAACTTTTAGGATAATTGGAGGGGAACCGTTCAGTGATATTTTAAAATCTGTTTAAACAATGCAAAAATGAACATTGTCATATCACAGTTTATGAGGTGATGGTTTCATTTTAAAATCCACTATGGTTGATTTCCACTGGAGCTGATGAAGTAACGAAATTGTAAAATCGATATCACTCCTAAAATTTAAGATTAACATTCACAGCAGTATATACTACAAATCGTTGACAAGTTTTATTTAGGGATTAGATATGATTTTATTAGTCAAGAGACCGATATAAGCCTATGTTTAAAATAAATAAATAAATAAAGAAAGAAATAAAGAAAGAAAGAAAAAAAGAAAGAAATATATAAGCATTAAAATGCAGGAAAATAATAAGTTAGTAATTAGATGTATATCTAGCCAATATCTAATCAACAAGGAGTCAAACAATCTGCGCTCTGATAAAACAGGGACCGCTTAAATAGTTTACAAAAAATAAAGTCTCCGATTTAATAACTTTGTAACAGACTACTAGCAAACACTGTGGTCAGACAGTGAACACACACACACACACACACACACACACACACACACATCAGGGGCGGAAGGGGTACAAACTTTGAGTATCTGATTCAATGACTTTGTAACAGACAACGAGCAGACCCCGTGGTCAGACAGTACAAACGACCCAACTTACACATGTATTTACATCACCTCATCCTTACACAGGTACACATATATGACCTACTTAATACCGCGCATTTGATTGTATGCACTGTTAGAATAACAACGTCAACGAGCTCATTTTTGGCCAAGTTACAACGTACAGTAGTCAACCTCTTCAACCAGGAAGTGATTTTTGATTGTTAAACGATAGCAGTAGGAGCATTCGCCTAAAGCAGAATAAGACCCGTTGGTATAGTCTTCCAGTTCTTCGTGTAAGTATCAACATGAAATGTACTTGTTTTAAGTGCATTGTTTAATTATTTTTTAATTGCACAAAAGCATAAACAGTGCACTTGTAAATTGGCTTTGGAGTAATTGGTTATTTAAAATTGACGCCCAATGCACCCCCTACATTTCTCAATATGATCATCAATCCTGGTGCGTTGTGTACATTGTATGACTTTTAAGTATTAAAATACTACTGATTTGGGGTATAGTGAACTGTTTTGATACCAATAACAAGCGACTTTAATTATGGCATTGGCCCCCAGCTCAATAAAGCGTACTTTTTTCTGTATAAATGTATGGTATATATGGAGGTCGGATTACACCGTCCTCTTTGTCTGTGTCATATAAAATAATTTTATATATACGAGTATGTTCCTGTTTGAAAATAAAAACGACTTTCAATTTCAGGACCTGTTATAAAGAATTACCAGACGACAATGGATTTTGTAACATTTCTGTTCCTCTCCGCTGTATTCCATCTTTTCGATATAGCCTTCACTTCCACAGTGGTCAGTTCTTTTCCCAGCGGACAGACAACATTAGAGTTCAACAATCTGGCGATTAATAACGCCACTGGGGCCGTATATGTTGGAGCTGTTAATGTTCTTCACCGACTGGATGGTGACTTGCAACTGTTACAGAACGTAACGACTGGACCAATCACGGATAGTCCATACTGTAGTCCACCTGGGTCTTATTATTCCTGCTCGCAAGGAACGCCAACAGACAACTACAACAAAATCCTAGTAGTAGACCAGTCTAGGGGTAAACTGATATCTTGTGGTAGCGTATACCAAGGTACTTGTGAGTCTCGACCAGTCACTAATTTATCACAGGTTATTCCACATCGTGGTTCTGACCCTAGGGAAAATTACGTTGCCGCCAATTCTCCTGATGCTTCCACTGTGGCTTTTATAGCACCGGGGCCCAACTACCAGGACGTGTTATATGTGGCTGCTACATATACGGGACAGGGGGAGAGTGGTAGACTTCGGGAGCAGGTGGCAGCTGTTAGTAGCAGATCTCTTCAGACACTGGAATTAACGAACTACAACGCTCTGTCTGGTATGGGAACGTATATAATCCTCTCCGATACTGTTCGAAGTACTTATCCAGTGCATTACGTTGCTGGGTTTTCATTGAATGGCTATAGTTATTTCATCACAAACCAACAGACAACACTAACCAGCACAGAGTATGAATCGAGATTAGTTCGAATATGCCAGAATGATGCCGACTACTACTCATACTTCGAAATGCCCTTGCATTGTGCAGGGGCCAATCCTAACGTGTGGTTCAATCTTGCAAAATCAGTATCGGTAGCCAAACTGGGAAATGATAATGTGCTAGTGGGTGTTTTTGTTAGAGGATCTAGTTCAACTTTGTGTGTATTTTCAATGGAGAGTATAAACGTGATAATAAAATACAAATACGAGCAGTGCTTCGCTGGAAATAGAAATACTGAAGCTACACATTTCCTTAGCGGTTCACGAAGTTGCGTTTCTTTCCCAGTAAGTTTACATTTTAATATATTCCACTACTTCTGTAAAGTTTACCTTACATTCTTCCAAATCTTTTAAACATGTATCCTGCTTTAGTGTACTGTCTATAACCAGTTCATCTACTTGGATTTTTCCCGTTCATCACGCATTCTATATTAAGTACTTTCACCTCCACTGCAGTCATATAACTACGGGTCAAGCTACTGCAACCATGACTATGGTTGGAGGAATACTCCCCTGGTGTCAACCACCCCGGCAACATCAACCCCTGCTCTGACAGCCACGTCGTCCACATGGACAGTAGTAGCCACCACAACCACCACCAGCTACACTGTAGCTTTTGTAGGAACTGCTGACGGACAACTAAAGAAGGTGCCGCACAATTCAATAGTTGGTTTTAATTCTTACTGATTACGCGAACAGTACATAGCTGAATAATGTTTAATAATGCAAATATGAATGTTTAATAATGCAAATATGGTAAAATCTACCGAGTGAATGTATTATTTTAAAAGCGAGATTATGAATAAGTATTTTATATCAAGGTAGAGAAAGTCCTCTCATGTTAGTCCTTGTATGAAATGGCTAAAGAGGTTTCTCAAATGTATTCTAGCTACAGCGGTTTTTCTTCGCACTCTTTGTTCAAACTTAAGTTTTTTAAACATCCGTTGCATATATATCACCACATCTAAAAAGACTTTCGTGAAATTGTTTACCGTTAATAATATTTTCAGATATTAATCCAGTCTAATACATCTGCTTTGGAATATGCATCGGTGCAAGTGTCAAGCGATCAGGTTAAAGATATACAGTTAGACGGTACAGGAGAGCACATGTATATTATGACCAAATATAAGGTGAGTTCTATCTAGCTGGTATCATTAACGACTCAGGGAAGATAATGGAAAATCAACCCAAACTCACTAAATCTTGTAATTTCTGATTGCTTAACCATGTCTTGAATTCGAAAACGCAGATATGAAAACAGGAAAGTCGAACATTTGAATATTGATATACAGACTACATGTATCTAAGTATTAGTGCAGGGCTTAATTATAATGAGACCAAAATATCATGTTAACCTGTATATCAAATAATTTCCAGGTCAGTAAGTTGAAGGTAGAAGACTGTGGTAGTTACAGTAGTTGTGATGAGTGTCTGGCATCAAGAGATCCGTTCTGTGGGTGGTGCAGTCTGGAAAACAAGTAAGAATATAATAAGATACGCCCGCAATTGAACGCTTATTGTTGCATACCTGATGGTAATAAACCCTCTTCGCTGTTTTACAAGTTCGGGAAACGGTTAAGAATGTTATTTGACCATATTTAAAGTAAAGTTTATTTGTTTTACAAACTTGGGGTTGTTCGGCAGATAATATAAATGGGGATGTTTATACCAAATGTACTGCTTCTTTGCTTCTTGGTGCATTTTTATATTAAGAATCGTTCTTTGCCTGGTGAAGGTTGCAATGAAATGACTCTACACTAGTTTTGCATTAAGTGGCCATATGTTTTCTTTACTGTCTTGCCCGTTCCGCCACAGATCATCTTAAATGCTAACACTGATAGTGTGACTGAAAAACTACATACATCCTCTTTTTTATCTCCTTAAATGTTATTTGGCAGCGTGCTATGTTATTGTAGGCCAGATTACAACCAGTCTCTTAATTTAAGAATTAAACCACCTGATCCACGTGTTTTACTTTCTAGATGTAGCAGAAAAAGTCAGTGCTCAAATGCAGATAGCATTGAAAGATGGCTTCCCTTTGATAATGGACAATGTACCAAGATCAATACCATTTCACCATCAAACACACCTCTTGCCAGACCCACACAGGTACCAACAGTGGGTTTACACATCGGATTATTTCATATAATCAGTTTTTATTTCACTGGACATTGTTACCAACAATCTTTGTGTCTCCATCCATCGATCGAATAAAGTTGGCATAGTCCAGAATAGAACAACATTTAGTAATAGAGATTCACTGTTTTGCCACACTTGCTTCACTGTACATATGTACATCTGTGCGTAAGTGAGTGCTGTAAATCTTGTACGTTTTGTGTCCCTCATTAACTGAATTACCCGTGCAAACGGTGTTGTGACCAATCAAATGACCGCTAAACAACGTCATACACAGGAATGCATCGGTATGAGAACCATATTATAGTAAACGCGACTGAATGCAATCGTCAGTTTGATATATGTATCCCTTAGTAGCAAAATAACTACCATCTAAAGAGAGTCACTGTTGAGTCCATTCGTATTTTAGGTGAACATATCAGTAAGCCTCCTACCCCCAGGCCAGTCCTACCAGTGTGTATTTGATACCACAGCTGTCACTGCCACAGTCACGCGGGGGAACTTGGTGACATGTGACACACCCGCCACCTTACCTACTATACCAACTGGAGACGGTAAGGTTTTTGTTCATATACATGTTGCATACTAAAAACCGCACTAAAAATAACACAATGTAACTGGTAGTAAGATCGACAGCGTTACTGCCTAATATACAATAAATATTATTTTTAATGCAGTCCTTAAACGTGCACAGGTATTTTGGAGTATATTGTGCTATATGTCTTCATTAATTATAATATTATGTTTTTAGTATAATTAATTTATCATTTAATTTTGTGTTGTAGTAAAGAAATTTAAAGACATCGTACTGCCGGATATAAATTTGATACAGCTGTTAAACTTTATTTTTTCCTATGACATATTTATTAAGAAAAAAAAAAACTTTCCATTTCAGATCACATAAAAGTTCCCTTATTTATCAAATCTGTAACGACTGGAGTTAAGTTTTTAACCACCAACTTCACATATTTTGACTGCGGCGCACACTCCGGGTAACTAGTTTTCATTGTGTTTATAGCTCTACATCCTATCAGATCCACTAAGAAGCCTCTCAATGATCTGCTATCAAAGGAAATTTAGTGAAAGGTATCACATTATTTGATCATTTTCAGTATATGATGTATATCTGTATCTATATCTGAACAAGGTCTGTCTTTATGAACATTAATTTTGAGAAACATTATTCAAAACACCCTGCGGATATGCAAACACGTGTATGTATGTATGTATGTATTATTACTGTAGGTGTGTGTCATGTACCAGTAGTAGTTGGGCCTGCGACTGGTGTATATATGCCAACTCATGCACCCACGCCAGTAATACCTGTAGTCCTAGTGGAAGGGTGATACCTGGACAAAAAGTACGTTCATTTCATTTTTCATTTCTCTTTGTATACCCTTTTTACTCAAAACCGAGATAAAACCAGATAATGCTGGTCACTCATGCAGTTTTCCATGTGTGTGACAAGTGAAACGCTACTAAAACTAATATTAAATGTCCATTTATTTACGCGCAATCTGTAATTTCTGTTTTCAAGAACAGAAACATATTTGCGAATAAGAAATAATGCTGTCTTCTTTCCTCTATTTTAGAGTCATGTCCATGTAGGCATTAAAGGTCCCACCCTGTGTCCCCAGCTCCTGACACGTGTACAGGACGTCCTGTTATCTGCTGGGGTCACCAAAGTCATCTCATTAAGTGGGAAGAACCTACCTGTGCCACAGGTAAAAATTCACTTAAATGTGGTTCTTAATTATGCTACCGTTCCTTATATGTACACGTAGGAATACATTCCACGAAGTATGATTTTTTATTATTTGCGATAGAGAACCTTACCATCATGGGAACATAAATTGTGGTTACGCATTATTACAATAAAGCAATGATTCATTTCTAAATCAGTTTCAATAAAAAGACTGACATAAACCAGACATTCCCACTCCAAATAGTTTTTTTTTATGAAGTTTTACATTTTGCTGTGCTCTGCAATCATTTTGGTTATTCTCAACTTTCTCCAATGTTATTCCAGGCTGGCCAAGGTGGTTATCAATGTAAGATAGGCACTAACACAGTCCCAGCTATCAGACAGAATGATAGTGCCATAGACTGTCAGGGCCACGCTGTGAGTAGATATCAGAAAACAAAAAACATGTTATTAAATAGAAAGATGTTTCTTTTCCCGAAGACAGTCAGTATCCTGAAACTAACTCTAAGTATATAAATATTAAGAACTAATATTTATAGTGAGAAGATAATGCAGAAAAGATAAAGACAGTTGGTCTGCAATTTGATCTCCTTGATTTTTGTTTGTTGATTATAGTCGTAATTGTTAAAGCAGATGTTTGGTTGTATTTAACGGGGTTTTCCGTTCATTATGCCAGTATGGATATACAGCCATCACAGGCCAGGAGAAACACCAAATCCAAGTAATCTGGAATAATAACCATGTGATAGATCAACCCACCGGCTCTGAAGTCAGTGGTATGTATTGTGTACCAAATCAGTTGTACTTCCTTTTTTAACTAAAACTAAATGTGTTTAATAAATGTAAAGGCTTGGAATGTGTAAACGCTTTAATGTATTATTTTGCCTTCTCAGAAAGAATCATACCACCTGTCGCTCAGAAGACGGTCAGAAGTATGTAATTTCACATGCGAAGATATGTTGCAAGTCTATCTTTTCATTGACAGTTTTCTGGTATTACTGATAATTCATTTTATGGTTACAGCTATGTACATCACAAGTGTAACATTGTTGGGCAGTGTCTGTGATATATATTTCGGTATACCATTTCTTCACGATAATGCTACTTTTATTTCAGTAACCAAGTCAAGTGTTTTTTGGTAGTTTACTGGTATTACTGTTAATTATTTTTATGGGTACAACTACAGTGTATGTACAACACAAGAGTAACATTGTTGGGCAATGTTTGTCATACGCATTTTGATAATTATGGTACATAATAACATCACCATGATGTTACTGTTATTTCAGCCACCCTGTACAAGTGTGACATCATGGGGAGCACATGTGGCACATGTATTGGTGCTGTGGATGCAAAATTTGGCTGTGCTTTCTGTGGAGGGACGTGCAAGTATCGCCCAACATGCAGTGTACCAGCTGAGAGCACTTGCCCTAATGTTATCCTTAACTGGGTTAGAACTGTAATATATTGTAAATGTGATGTCCTTGTCACAAGTCAGTCTGTTTTATGTTAAGATTAAAAAATATATAGTGATTATCTTAATTTTTAAGTGTCACATGGATATGCTTATCAGTATGGTAGCCACAGCTAAAACAAACGTTACATTTTTTGTGTTTCACAAACTGTTAGGCCACGATGAAAGATTAAGAAGTATATTTATCTGAGAATATGACAACAGCTTAAAGTTAAACCATTATCTGTTAGGTTTCACCCTTGAGTGCCCCAGTTGAAGGTCACACCAAGATTACCATCAATGGCACCAATTTAGGCACCTCTGGTGCCAGTATACCCATTGTTAGACTAGCTGGGGTGATCTGTACACCTGTTGTAGAAGATTATGTGGTTTCAAGGAGGTAAGGAACAGAGAGAACTTTAAAAGTATGTTGGCATTGGCAATTGTGTGTGAACCTTTCCAATTCCCATGACTATGGGTATTGTTGTCTAAAATTTACTCCAGTTAAAGAAAAAATATTTAACATTTATATGCCAATTTATTATTGATTGCTTGGATATCGTTGGGTATATAGATTAAATTACTATTGTAACTGATACAAGTGTAAGATTTCACTTACAGGAAGTTATTTTTCCATCTCAATCATAAATCCAAATTTTCTTGGCATTTTTCTGCCCTATGTGTCCAGTAGACTTTGTAAGCTGTTATGGCCATGTAGCATTTCTTCCATAATTTATTTCCTAAAATCATGTCTGCACGGTTTTAGAATTGTGTGTACAGCAGCAGAAGCTCCAGGCAGGTTGGCCAGGAACGGTTCCATAGAAGTACAGGTCCAGGGTTTAGAAAAAGTATACCGCTACTCCCAGATGTTCAGATATGTGGTGAGTACTTTTTTAAAGACAACTATCACCACACCACTGATAGTCATTGAACTATGGAGTTACAGGCAGGGTATACAGGTACTCCCAACAGTTCAGTTATATGGTGCACATGTGTTTTGGAATACAACTTTATTCACATCACTGGTCTTCATGGGGATGTGTTTAGAGAAATAGTTGTGGTAGTTTGATAATATTTTGCCAATTCATAACTGATTATGGTGTGATAAAATTATATACAATTTCAAGTGTATTTTTAAAAGGATAACGGCTATTTATTTGAGATCTGAAAACAAAACATAGCAATGTTATAAGTTCCAAATCGTCGTTAACTTCAGAGAAATCCTTTTTTGGCACTTTTCCCGAAAAAAAATCCATTCAATTATCCCTTTCAGGACCCCAAGCTGGAGGCAGTATTCCCAATTAAAGGCCCCATGTCTGGAGGCACCAGGCTGACCGTGAGAGGGAAAGATCTCAATGCTGGCAACCTGGACAATATCAGCCTAACCCTTGGCGAGGAAATGTTGCCTTGTGTTATAGACAGGTGAGGATACGTCGTAGATTGTAGGCGTTAAACGATTACAATTTTTGTCTTAAATTTGTTTTAGAACGTTACTTGACCAAAGAAAAACCACAACATTTGACATAGTTTCCTAAAATAGCAATCACTTCTTCCATAATATATTGTTCATTTGGTTAATCTTTTAAAATTGAAATACTGCTGTTTGTTAGACAGGACCGCATGAGCATTGCTTTAATTTTTATTTTAATAATTACCAACTGCCTTAATAGCATTTTAAACAATGAAAAACACGAAGAAGTTGTAAGACCTGGTAATTTAATCTATTTTAGTTGTCACTGAGACAGTAGAATTGTTTAAAAAGAAACATATTTTTTTTATATTTCCAGAAGTAACATCGGAAGCCATTCCACCATTTGTACCACTCCAGGGGTCAGTAGGCCAAAGGTCGTGACCTCTGTCAAGATGTTCTTTGACGGCAGTGTAAGAATGCTGGACCAGGGCCCCTTCACATACACTGAGGACCCTATTGTGGAGAAGATAATGCCACTAACCAGCTTTGTAAGGTAACTTACACAATTGCCCGCATGTGATAAGAAGAGTAGCTGACAGCACGTCTATAATGGTAATTTTTTTTTATTGTAAGGAGTGCCTTTCGAGCAAAAATATCAATTTCAAATATGGAGTATTTAGATATTACTACGGTGATGTTATAGTCACAGTCTTTTATAAATTTTATTTAGCGGAGGTCGGATGTTGACAGTCACTGGGAAGCATTTTGACTCAATTCAGCAGCCAAAGATGTTTGTGAGGAACGGGAAGGAAAAGTCCCAAACAACGGTGAGGGGAAGGCAGTACTCACATACTTTAGGGATTTTTTTTCCTTTTTAGCTCATTCTGTTGCTATCTATAGGGGTTCTTGGGCACTGGTAAGTGGTGGTAAGTGTGTGTAAATGTGCTTAAGGTAATGTGCTGGTCCTTTATTTATCAGAGAGTGTATTGTGATCACCTGTACATGCCAAGCTGTTTCCCTACTGTATACCGACATGATGTAAATTATTCCACCCTGGTTTATTTTTGGTTGAATTGCATATAATGCACCTTTTCCAATTTCTCACCATGACATCTACTTATTGATTTCGCCTTTCTGTCAGGATTGTCTCCATATACCAGAAATATCCAGCACCACATTAACATGCCCATCGCCAAGAGCGCCTAAGGGGATTCATTCAACGATACCAGACACTACAGGTTCATTGCGCCTGAAGAGACAGTCGGACACCAATACTATCGCGAAGATTGGCTTTATAATGGACGGAGTGGCAGCAGTGCAGAATTTAACAAACATCACTTCTTCTATTCAATATGTTGTGGATCCGTTGTTCCAGAATTTGACCAGCGACGGTTCTAGTGTGAAATATCAAAGTAACACTAGCTTCGTAATACGTGTGAGTCAATCTCTGTTCAAGAAAAAAACAACAAAAATAGAATAAAATAGAATAAAATAAAAAACATAAATGTAAACATAAATTAATGGAACATGATAAACATTGATATATTTCAAAACATACAGGAGTTTCTTACAATCAGTGCCTAATTCCTAAACCTATTTAACCATAATTAATTATGGCCAAGCTATGACCAACCCAAAGAGCACTACCCGGTTAAATCTGCAAATTGTGCACTGCAGCAGTCTTACAGTCTTGGGAGTCAGTTTAGTGGTAGCCACACACCTGACTTCAAACTTCTCTATTCACTTATCTGATGTAAGATATGTGTTAAAAAGAATGCACAGTATGTAGGCATACCTTTGACATTGAAATATTCCATATTCATAAATGTCGAGTCTGTACAATCAATGCATAATTCCTGAACCCATTTAATCACAGTTAGAACTCCTTATATGATGCGATTATAACATATTTGCATAAAACTCATCTTCGTTCAATCGTTCAACAGGGACATTATCTTAACCTTGCTGCAAGTGAAGCAGATGTGACTGTTCTGATTGGTGGCCATAACTGTGACGTCACAGGTTTGGCCCCCAGTGTTCTCGTCTGCTCACCGCCACATTTTGACTACGGAGATAAACTGGTAACTGTAAGTATTCCATTCCATTCCATGATAAAGCTTGATTTGTTATTTGTTTTATATGTATTTTTATGAATGAAACAGGGTGTCTGTCGTCTAATCGCCAGCGTAAACAACACTGCTCTATCAAAACTGCATTAATTAATTAAATGAAGACTTGAAGAACACAACTCTCTAAGTAAAATGCATATTAAGTTGCCTTGCTAGGTTACTCATTATTTAATTACTTTTACATAAGTCATTAAAGTTAAGTCCTGCAAATGCTTTGCTGGTAGTCACTGTCAACTTTTTCCACATAATACAGTATTGTGTGTAATTGGAATGCATTATTCTCTTCAGATACATATGGGTAATTTAGAGTACCAAGTGGGATATCTAAACTATGGGGATCCTACGACAGATCATCCTCCAGTCAACTATGGTTGGGTAGCAGGGCTAATTGTTCCTATTGTTGCTTTATCTGTCATTGGAATCGTTACCGGAGTCATACTCTATAAAAGACGTGCAAAACGCGCTACCACCAATCACAAAGGCGCCAATGACACGGAGTACGTCGGTTTAAGCAGTCAGTTCACACCACCGCGTGTTATCAACACTATAGAGGACGCCTTGATGCTGGTAAAAGATGGCGACTTAAAGGTTGTTCTAAAGCCTGTACTAATAAGCAGAGACCGGATTAAAATTGGGAAGTTAATTGGCACAGGTACGTAAATGACCATCGAGTTACAAAAATGTTATTGTGTATTGAAAACTCACTCTGGGATCTTAACTTATTCCCCCGTTAATGCGACAAGACTTGTGCTTCAGCATATGCCCGCGATCAAAGCTATTGTCACGTACACAGTGCTTTTATGGCGGTCTGGTTAGTATATTTTATAAAACAATAATAGAATAAACATATACTGGAGAGGGAGTAACAAATGTTTATATACTAATAACGTTTATTTGTTTGTTTCAGGGCACTTCGGTTGTGTATTTGAAGCAGTTTACGAAGACAGCGAACATTACAACCCTTCAAAAGTAGCCGTGAAAACGTTTCAAGGTACATACTGAAAGGTGTTAAATCGTTATCTTGCACTCACTTAATACATGAAAAGGATCAACGATTGGATATATGTTTAAAATACTTGTGCAATTATATGTTGTCTATTTTTATAAGAAAACATGTCTATGCCAAAACTTATATTCACAGTGTTATTGATAATTGTCCTTAAATCAATACATACTGAAAGCAGTATTGACACTTCCCACCCCCATACAGAAATTTCGCAAACAATCCATCTCTGCACAAGCGCATTTAATATATGAACGACACATTTCCTGCAGGAAAGGGCGCAGATATTCAGCACCTAGATGAATTCCTCAGAGAAGGAGCTCTGATGACGTCATTCCGCCATGATCACGTGTTGACAATACTCGGGATATGCTTCGAAGTTGACGGCAACCCCATGATTATATTACCGTACATGGCCAATGGAGATCTCAAAAATTACATCGAGAATCCCAAGAATGTGCGTAAGAAATGTTGTGAGTTTGGGAAAAGTAATTTTTTAAGATCAGAAGATAAAGTAATATTACTGTTTAGAAATAAATTCAGACATACTGAAATCGCTGGTACGATCCTGAGTTTATTGCAATTTAAAGCATATTATAACGTATTGTTTATTCATACTATTGACAGCATGTACGTATATTATGTTACGTTAGGCACCTACAGGAATACAGCTGCTGCAGTTTGGTTTGGACGTAGCCCGGGGGATGGAATACCTTGCTGAGAACAAATTTGTCCATCGGGATTTAGCTGCTAGAAACTGCATGTGGGTAATATTCTCTGTCCCAATTGGACAGATAACAGAACAGATGACAGGGTAGATTACACAATACCTTTTTTTTTGCTTTGAGGGGGCCGGATTTTAGAGGAAGAGGTGTTTCCATAGGCAAAACGGGGGAAATCGCCTTTCCGTTGAGATTGTCAAACTTTGAGTGTTATAAGGTCAATAAATATATATATACTCTAGTCTCTATCACTTTGAATATATTAAATAGTATTTATGATTATTATATGCGAGTGGAGCCAAGCAAATGATCAACCAAATCTAGAAGAGAAAGTTGACAATTGTATGGTAATCATTGGTGATAAAAAACTAACTCAGCTGTGCTATGTTTTCAGGCTAGATGACCAGCTGCTCGCCAAAGTGGCCGATTTTGGACTGACTCGCGACGTGTACACTACGGAATATTACAGCTCCAGAGACAAGCAGGCCAAGTTGCCGGTGAAATGGATGGCGCCAGAGTCCATGGAAAGGAACGTTTACACTTTTAGATCCGATGTGGTATGGCCATGGGGTTACATTAAGTTTTACTTCGGAATTTACTGCTTTGCCCATCGTTATACGGTAGTGCAGTTTAGATTTTAAAATCAATAAGCTCCATGAACAAAAAATAATTTTTTTTAAATTTAAAATGATTGATAGATATATCAATAAGAAAATAAAAATTAAAAGAAAACAACTATTTTGAGATGTCATGTAATAATCAAGGAATGTCCCCTCTAGCTTTCTCGTGTTTTAGATGTACAATGTTTGTTTCTTTTTATTTGTTTCTCTGGAAAACACAACTTTCAATTAACGTACCCCTGAGGGTAAAGCATCAAAATATGATGCCCATAATAGCCATGCAAAAGCCGTTCCGACTTTTGACATTATTAAAAAATTTCCTATCGTCCATACAAATTATAGTAATGTTTGATTTGTGTGTTACTTTAGGAGATATAGACTATAAATGTCAAACCATCCTTTTTTCAATATTTTTTATCATTATATAAATATGTCTATTGTCTACAGTGGTCCTATGACGTACTACTTGGGAAACTGTTCATTTTCGGTAAGGTTATTATTATCATTATATAAATATTTCTGTTGTCAACAGTGGTCTTACGGCGTACTACTTTGGGAACTGTTCACTCGCGGTAAGGTACCGTATCCTGGTGTGGATGGATGGGATGTTCTACAGTTCCTTAAACTTGAAAGAAGATTGGACCAACCCGACTACTGTCCTCAGCAAGTGTAAGTCATGACTTACATCAAGCCTGCGGGTATATACATCTACAATTAGTATGTACACATTTGTGGTCTGACATATAAGTCTTAGATATAGGTATAAGGCCGTTATTTCTAATACGGTGTCAGTATATTTAATGTTATCATAAGAGTGTCTGAATTTCTCAATTCTCTTCTTTGATGCCAATTTTGCATGCTTCTCCCTGCTGAATGTGCCTGTATCGGTGCTTAACAGTGCTAGTTGCACATGCACCTAACTGTGCATTTAGTTACGTACAGTATACATACTACAGATAGTATACTACCCAGGCGGATCTCGGAAAAGGGGGTCACACGGCCATAAGCCAAAACTTCATATATAGGGAGCAAAGAAGAGGGAGTAAAAGAAGCACCACAGTTTAGAGAAGCACATTCGTTTTATTTACAGGGTAGCAATTTCTAATATCGGTCCAAACTATTGGGATTCCGTTTTTGCTGTCTTGATTGAATCCATTTTGTTCCTACCCTGTCATTTCTTCTATTCCAGGTACCAGCTAATGCTGAAGTGCTGGTCATGGGAGCCAGAGGAGCGACCAGACTTCACCTCTATTGTAACACAAATAGAGGAGACAGTGAGAGTCAACACGGAAGTTGGTGGAGAACCTGATCACAATGAACGTGGGGAAGGGGATGGTGATTATCATGTGTACCTTGAAGTGTTCTAGGTACAATGTAACATATGTAAATAATTTAGTCCAGTCGGTTTTTGGACAGTGCTTTTTATTTGATCTTTGCTATGAGGATGACGACATATGGATTTGGTACATTTTTGTACCTGCATATTTTCTCTCAGCTGTACGTTTATTAATGATCTATAGAAATCAATTGCGTGACCACATTATATTGTATTGGGCAATTAAGAAATAATTGGGACGGCTGTTTCCACGCTTGCTGAATTTTGGTGTTCTTTGGGCTCTGGATTATCACCAGGTGCATGGAAAGTAAGAGTGCATTCAGAAAAGATGATCCGCGGACTAACTGAGGCAGTTGAAAAAGGAAACAGGCTAAGCTTGGCATATCAAGCCTTGTTTTGGGGCAGGGGCTTTGTTGGATTTTAAAGATGCATATGGACTCAATTTTGGGTACTTCGTGGTTTATATATGTCACCACACGGTTTCAAATAATATGGTAACTTAGAGGAATACCAAAATAATTCCTTTCATATTACCCGAAAGATGATATTTGAACTGGTTTTTGCTGCTTGCTTCCTATGTTATATATGAACGTGACATATAAGTTGGTCAGCTGAGTAGGTTTTACAACCAAAAAATTAAGGAAGGTGTAGTTTAAAGTTATTCATGGCTGAACGAGTGTTTAATTCAGTTCATGCCTTGGTATGATTGTCAACTTCATTTGATTCGTACAAGAATCTTAAAGGAGTTGTTCATATATGTTACTGGGAATCCATGTCCCAGTTCAAATGTACCTTTAACGCACTTCACTTTTCATACATTATGGTGTACATGTACTTAACGTTGGGTGACGAATAAATCGCGTTCTTTGTGTGTCCTTNACTTGAAAGAAGATTGGACCAACCCGACTACTGTCCTCAGCAAGTGTAAGTCATGACTTACATCAAGCCTGCGGGTATATACATCTACAATTAGTATGTACACATTTGTGGTCTGACATATAAGTCTTAGATATAGGTATAAGGCCGTTATTTCTAATACGGTGTCAGTATATTTAATGTTATCATAAGAGTGTCTGAATTTCTCAATTCTCTTCTTTGATGCCAATTTTGCATGCTTCTCCCTGCTGAATGTGCCTGTATCGGTGCTTAACAGTGCTAGTTGCACATGCACCTAACTGTGCATTTAGTTACGTACAGTATACATACTACAGATAGTATACTACCCAGGCGGATCTCGGAAAAGGGGGTCACACGGCCATAAGCCAAAACTTCATATATAGGGAGCAAAGAAGAGGGAGTAAAAGAAGCACCACAGTTTAGAGAAGCACATTCGTTTTATTTACAGGGTAGCAATTTCTAATATCGGTCCAAACTATTGGGATTCCGTTTTTGCTGTCTTGATTGAATCCATTTTGTTCCTACCCTGTCATTTCTTCTATTCCAGGTACCAGCTAATGCTGAAGTGCTGGTCATGGGAGCCAGAGGAGCGACCAGACTTCACCTCTATTGTAACACAAATAGAGGAGACAGTGAGAGTCAACACGGAAGTTGGTGGAGAACCTGATCACAATGAACGTGGGGAAGGGGATGGTGATTATCATGTGTACCTTGAAGTGTTCTAGGTACAATGTAACATATGTAAATAATTTAGTCCAGTCGGTTTTTGGACAGTGCTTTTTATTTGATCTTTGCTATGAGGATGACGACATATGGATTTGGTACATTTTTGTACCTGCATATTTTCTCTCAGCTGTACGTTTATTAATGATCTATAGAAATCAATTGCGTGACCACATTATATTGTATTGGGCAATTAAGAAATAATTGGGACGGCTGTTTCCACGCTTGCTGAATTTTGGTGTTCTTTGGGCTCTGGATTATCACCAGGTGCATGGAAAGTAAGAGTGCATTCAGAAAAGATGATCCGCGGACTAACTGAGGCAGTTGAAAAAGGAAACAGGCTAAGCTTGGCATATCAAGCCTTGTTTTGGGGCAGGGGCTTTGTTGGATTTTAAAGATGCATATGGACTCAATTTTGGGTACTTCGTGGTTTATATATGTCACCACACGGTTTCAAATAATATGGTAACTTAGAGGAATACCAAAATAATTCCTTTCATATTACCCGAAAGATGATATTTGAACTGGTTTTTGCTGCTTGCTTCCTATGTTATATATGAACGTGACATATAAGTTGGTCAGCTGAGTAGGTTTTACAACCAAAAAATTAAGGAAGGTGTAGTTTAAAGTTATTCATGGCTGAACGAGTGTTTAATTCAGTTCATGCCTTGGTATGATTGTCAACTTCATTTGATTCGTACAAGAATCTTAAAGGAGTTGTTCATATATGTTACTGGGAATCCATGTCCCAGTTCAAATGTACCTTTAACGCACTTCACTTTTCATACATTATGGTGTACATGTACTTAACGTTGGGTGACGAATAAATCGCGTTCTTTGTGTGTCCTTCCTCTTTACTTGCTTATATGTAACATTACCAGGGTGGATGTATAAAAGTATGAATTATTAACTTATATGAGCTTTTTTTTCTTTAAACGTGTTTTTCTAAACAATGAGACAACCACCCCCTTTCCTTTCAAGTGTAATACATGTATTAAGGCCGGTATATACCTTGTACATTCTTAAAAGGCTCTTAACCCAATATCGCAAAATAGGTTTAACGAAAGCAGCTGTATAATTATAGCCGGCTATGCAAGCTTAACTAAAGAGCGAAATGAGCCCGGGTACTATAAAGTATAGTTTACCAGTAGGGCATAGTTACGCAGGAGTCACATTAAAGGGGGCGACACTAAAAGGTTTTTATTCACCTCCCAGCTGATCTTGTTGAGCAAAAAAAAAATAAAATAAATAATTAAATAAAATAAAATAAAATAAAATAAAATAAATAAATAATTATAATAAAAAAAAATAAATAAACTTGAGCATGACTATGGCAAACAGAAATACATGAAGCTGTGAAAGCGAAGAAGGCAAAGTTTTCGAGTTATAATAATGGATTATGATAATTGTTTTTATAGAGTGCGACAGAACTGGTAATTCGAAATGTTCAAATATATGACTATTTTCGAGACGACTTTTTGTTTTGTCATATCCGAAAAAAGCAGGAATTTTAAGATGAGACTTGTTTTTCTCGAATAAAAGTAAAAAATAAAATTTGCACGTTTATTTATTTTACCATATTTGTTGAAGTTTTTTCACAAGTATTTTAAATATGTTTTGAACAAAGTCAGAAAATTTCAGAAAGATTCATGTATCTTATTGAGTATAAGGGTTGTTTTGTATTTACTGGGATGTATGCTGTACCTAAAAACTTGCAGGGATTAAATTAAGGGGCAAAGAAAAAATCATCATACAGTGAAACTTTTCCGTCTTCGTCTCTATTCAATGTATTAGCGACTGAAATGATGTTTTCTATCCATATTTCAATATTACAGCTGCATGGTGATGCTGGTTATAAAGTATTGAACTGTTTTGTTTGGTCTGGCTTTAAATATACGCAGTGAATTGTTTCACACACATTCATCTCTATTTTTTCAGGTCTGTACAACCATTGCAAGAATATTAAATGTGTTTCGAAATACAAATATTAATGCCGTGATCGCGGTTTAGAGTTGGATTGCCATGCAATCCGCCTTGAGGGTACCGTGTCAAGGTCACAGTGTCAAGGTCACAGGACCTCTCCCTGCAAAGCTATGCAGTCGGAAAAAAACTGTATTCATTGGAATTGGAAGATACCATTATCGTTTCCTGTGTAGATGACTTAAACATGACTGTACAATATGGTGTTAATCAATCATTGAAATTATTTATATTAATTAGAAAAAACAATCAGATTAGACCTGCTGTGAAACTAACAACCAGTATTTTAAACGGACTTTGCAGATTTGTTCCACACTTGCCCACTTATTAAACAAATGTATGACATTATATTGCCAACCTTTGTACCCTGCGTTTTCTTTTATAGACTGCCACGCTTACCCTTTAGTTATAACTCTTGTATTTAGAATTTACTTCAGTTTGGGGATGGAGAGTGACATATATATTCTTTGACATTGTGTGTTTTGACAGATTAATCAAATTTAGTTCGCTTCTCTTCACCCAGCCTCACCAGCAGCTTATTCAATCGTTTTTGTAATTACCCAACACATTTATTCATAAACAAACTATATCAAATCCAATATTGGTAAATAACATTGAAATACCATTCGACCATGTTGATTGACGTTATCACTGGAAGTGTTGTATCTCTCTGTCAATTAACATAAACTAGCTGAGGACTGTCATTTGGTATAATTAATCAAACATATTATATATTGTCCATGGCGTTCATCATGTCATCGCTGCTTAACTTTTTGATGTCCATCTTACAATGGACTCGAAGGGGTTTTGTTTACCGTCCTGTGCGTTATGAGGGTGACAAAATGAGAAACTAACCACAGCGTCATTTACTGTCAGAAAAGACTCAAGTTGTACGCCTCACATACTGAACTGCCCTGTCAATGTTTTCTAGTATCTTTTCGCCGAATCTAAACATCGAGGTATCCGTTACAATTCTACTCCATTTTAAGTGTTGTCTAAAGTGATGCAGCGACCCTATGCGTCGATCAACCTTAAGTGTTTTTTGCGTGGCGCGTCCGATCCAGTGAATACCCATCATCCATGTTTTCTCTGGTCTAACTATAGTTTTGAGACAACATCTTTTTCCGAACGAATGGACCTGTCGAGAGCGTCGTGAAGTTAAGAGACAAGCTGGACGATAGCGTAGCAGCCTCGCGTCCAATTCTCCCTTCACCGCAGGATATGTGTCAAAACTCGCTACACTTATTATGAACTCTTTCTTGAGGAATGCATACCCAGCACGGTCCTGCGGTAAGCTTTCTAACATATTATATAAGTCGTTTTGTTTCCTTGGCACGATGAACTCGTCTGTATCGACGAACACGACGTATTTGAACTCATACATGGTACGGTAGAGGCAGTCCTGGATTGAGGCCTGTTCGGCGTAGTAGTGCACTCCTTCTGTGTCCTCACTGTCGACCGAATTTACTCGCAAGTTTGGTGGTAAGTTCCAGGGAATTAATGTCATTATCCCTAAAAGGAATAGTACAGTTAAGTAAACCCCATGTCATTGAGGCCTATCAGTTCATTAATAATAATAATAATAATAATAATAATAATAAATAAATAAAATAAATACATAAATAAAAATGAAAACAATACAACAGATCACACCGTTAGAGAAGAAAAAAGAGAGGAAAATAGAATTACATGTATGGTCAGAAGTATGGCCATTGGTTTTACTTTATAACATCAGTTCATGTGTACTATAAAGGGTGTCATCGAAGCTTAGACGTCTTTCTGGTGGTCAACTTCTTGCTACCATGGTGAAGGCAAGGGAGCCAATGAAGAAAAAAAGGAAGTATTTCTCTGAGGGAGGTGAGTACAGGTGGCAATCAGATAGCCGTCAAATATGGTGTGTCTTGCCAGACTGTATACAGGGTTTGCAAACATGGGGGACATCGGTGGTGCCCATAAGTCAACAAGAAGTGGCCACCTGGAGAAAATTAGTGCCAGGGACGACAGGGGTCTTATTGTACCGTCAAGGGTTTTGGAATTTGAATCGTGCTGCTAATTAGCTTTGCAGTGGTCGCGTAATTTGGCGGTTGGGATTAGCGAAGTTACTGTTCAGGGAAAGCTTCTTGCTGCAGGAATTCACACCAGGGTTGCNCTGTGAGGCGGCGGATGTCGGTGACTTTATTGTTCTTGCATGCGAGTGCGTACGCGAGAGAGTATTTATTAAATGTATATGTACTTTGTAGTTACCTCCGCCAAGGA